TCCAGAAATCAGTAGAGAGAGATGAGAGATTGATTACCAGAAATCAGTCCCCAGTTTCTTGGGAACAACAAATACATGAGAGTAAAAACATGGAGAAGGGTCATATACCCTCTGAATGATGTGTTTAGCCAAAAGAAACACTTGGAGTACCATGATGCTCAGTAAAGTAACTGAACCAGCCTGTATGGACTTTTCACATATAAGAGAATTATTTAAGGCTTTGGATACAACTAATGATTGTATTGTAATAACAGAGGAGAGAAGAAATGTTTTGTCTTGTCAATTGGGTTCTAAAATAAGTGAACCAGCCTATGTGGACTTTTGAGAAAAAAAAAGAGAATTATTCAAAACCCTAGATTCAACTGTGGTAAATTATAGTGTAATGAAATTTTGTACATTCATTTGACTTGTTTATATATTATTCTAAAATAATGGCTTATGTGCTGTCCATTTATTGTTGAAATTTATTGCCAGCAAGTCACAGACACCTACTGTAAAGAATCCTAGCCCTCTAAAAAACCTGACAACATGACACTAAGCAATGCTTATAACTAATTGAGAATGACATAATTGTTTGAATACTCTCACAATAACCTAAATCAAAAACAACTGCTGTTAAGAATCTTAAATCTGATAATAGTAGTATAGAAAAACACTAGCAGACAAGGATAACACCATGTCACTATAGCTAGCATCTAACTTAACCCTCTTACTACAAGTAGGTCAAAGTGCACTTGTCACTACCTTTTACTGAGTTTCATTTAAAATTTAAGCTACTTTATTATAATTGTATACAATTAAACTTGGTACCAAGTGTAGTTAATAAATCAGCTTTTAATATTATATGGGTTTTAAGTTATGTATTTTATAAGGTAGTATTTAAAAAAAATCTTCAGTCTCCCCTAGTATGAGAATTGTGACATTTGTCCTCTAGGTTTTCTAATCTGTTTACCACTGTTCTCTGAAGTAAGGAATTTCGTGTAAATTATTTATTATATTATAGATATTACTAAGGCCAATTCTAATTTTTGTAGCCTTCAGTCTTATTGCTTACAAAGTCATAATCTAGAAAATCAGACCAACTTACCATGCCCACATGTCACATCCTCTTTTTCACAAATTGGCAGTACTTCTTTCTGATGTTTTATACTATATCTTTTATAACCAATAGAAAGGCAAAGTTTTAATCTATCAAATAGAATGTAATGCTACTTTGTTTTTAGTACATAGTATTGTCAATTTTGTAATCACTTTGAAAATTTATCTCATTAATAACACAAAGATGGCCACCTGAAAGCTGTCTGTTTATGTTGAATACTATGTTAAAAATGCCCCCACTTCACTTTCTTCTTATGTTAAATATAAAACACATTTTATTAATATAATTGAGGAAATTGTGCCAATATGAAGGATTAGAAATTCTGAAAGCTGCTCTAAATTTATCCAGTTCATTCGTATATTAAAAAAGTTTTTGATCTAGTCTATTGTATTTTATCCTAACAAAGAATATTAATTTCAGACTAAAAGTATACTGTCATGTATATGAAGATGGCTTCTAACTTTGCTAACATCTTTATGGTGGAATTGAAAACACTTTAAACCTCATACTTGGCACTACATTGATGATATATTCTTGATTTGGACAGCTGATGCAGTATGACTACTTCAAAGTTAACCCCTTTCACTGAATTTTCAAGTTTATCTTTGATTACTTCACTATCCAGATAAACTTACCTGATGACATTTTCTGTTTGAAAGACATCTCCATCACACTAAGTTATACAGAAAATCAACTAACAGTTGACAAGTAAAGCCTGTGTTTTGAAAGTGATCCTATATTATTCTGTAAAAATTACCCATAAAACATTGCATTTTTTCAATCAACCTATTCCACATGTGTGTATATATTTTAAGTTTTCATTAAAATATGTTAAAAAGAGGACTTTGAAATAAAGGATAAAGCTCTTGGTAAAGTATTATTCAGAAAAACATAAGAAGCCTATTTTGGTTCCAATAATGTAGTGATTCTTTGAGTAGTTTAGGTTGGAAAATTAGTTGTTTGTCAAAAAAATTAAAAAGAAAACCTATAAAAACCTATATTTTTGTTGCCAATGATCTTATAGAAACCTATATATCCATGTTACATTGTCTGTTTTCTTAAGAAATAGAGTGGGAGTGCTGTAGAAGCTAACACCATTAACATACTATAATATTACATACAACCAAGCTCTCAGTATTAAGAAAATCTGTGGTGAAGAAAATTATTACAAAAAACATATAGCAACTCTAGAACAATACATGATACAAAGAGTTTATAAAGACTTAGAAAATAATGGATTGAAAACTCTAATACCACTCAATGAGAAACCAACCTCTTAATATTCCAGTATAAAGGAATAAAGCAGAATTCCTCTGAATACTACCTATCTCTTTAAACTCAAGAACATCTTGCATGATATGAAAAAGCATTCCCCCTTTATCTCAACTCAGTGATGGCTCAAAACAAATTTTTCTGAAATTTTCTGTTGCTCCCTTGTGGAAGAATAAATACTTTGAAGATATCTTAGTTCATACTAAAGTTAAATACATTCACCAAAGAATGTTTGTCATCCTTGAAATAAAGCACACATCAGGCCTGCAAATCTGTATAAAATTCCAAAATGTTTTCCAAAAACATGATTAAAATCAATTTTGAAAAAGGGATTTTTTTCACAACAATATTTATCACATACAGTATAAAATTTTAACCATTAGAATGTTGGACAAACAAATTTCTTAAGAGCATGTTTGAACAACCATAAACCTTCTGTCAATACAAATAAAGATGTTCCTGTTCTCCAACATTTCAACCAGTTTGATTATTCTGTCAATGATATAGTTTTCTCATGTATGATTACTGAATTGAGAACTAAAACATACAGAGAAATTAACAAAATCTATTATATTGCCTTCTTCAATAATGCTCATCTCTGTGGAATTAACCTGGATTCTAGAATCAGTGATGTTTGACCTTTAATTAGTTTCTGTCAGATAAAAATTAGATTATTTTGCTTTCATTTCATTTCTAATCTTCTTTTCTTTTGTTATTTACATACCAACTTTTATTAATATCTGATCATGATTTTATTGCTATCTTTAATATTCTTATATTTTTCTTTTACAATTGTAATTTTTATTCCATTTCAATTAACAGTCTCTAATATTTTTGTTTTTATCTTATAATATCAAAAGTCCATTTTTGTTTCCATGGTGCTTTTGAACTTTTCTGTTTTTTGAAATCATTTCTGTAGCTCTCTCTTCCAATAATCATTATGTTTCTCTGAATTTTCTCTTTTGCTTTATTCCAGTCTTTTCACACATTGAAAATCATTCACACTTGAAACATTCCCAATGAAGACCAACTTAAATATTTGCATGTTGTCATGGTGATATGTTATAGATACCCACGACTTTTTTCAAAACTCACTAACATTCACACCTAACTCTTTCTGCTTTTTCGTAATTCAATTCTGTAGAAGTAAGGTCTACTTTACACAAGCATTCTGGTTGTGGGGTTTCTGATTTTATACCGTGCATGACTTCTTAGTATCACAAAAATAATTTGGTCTTTTTACAGACATATATTGTTTCTATTTATTGTTTGTATTTCTTATATATGTGTTTTGTTTAATGTGTCTCTCTCTATATATATAGCCTTGTTTTCCTATTGGATTGTGTCACTTTTTAAGAGTTTATTGGTTATATTTTTACTGTGCTCCTCTTATGAGTGAATATTTGAATTGTTAGTTTGTGACATATATTTACTGTGCATTTATTTCATTTTCTTTTAAATCATTTTTTCTTTATTTTATATAAATTTACCATTTGCTTTGCGAGTTGGCATTGAATTAATGAAACATGTTATATTTCATTTAAATAGAAATATTTGTTATAATCCAGTGTTTTATGGTACAATTTTTATTGTAGGTTTTTCTATACAGTGAAAGGACAAATGCTTTCAGTTGGAAATTATTGGAATGGTAAGATATATATCCTTTTTTTTAGAACACTTTGTTTTTTTATGAACTTTAATTGTGCTTAACCCTTCCCTTTTTTTCTTCTTTTTTTTCCTTCTCATAGTGGAAATAATTAATAAAATTATTAATAAAATAATTAATAAAATTAGTAAACATTTACTGATTAAAATCTGGTTTTGGATTTAAAAAATATGATTTATATTTATCCATTTCTTATATTGTGAAATTTCTGAAATTTTGTTGTGAGACACCTTTGAAAAAACATTAAAAATATGTTTTTTGTTTAAAATTACAATTTTTAATTATTGATCAGAAAGTTTTGTCTTCTACATGTAATCAATTTCAACTTAATGGATATTCCTTAACACATTTTTCTTTATGTTTTATTTTGCTGATAGCAGTAGTCATCACTTTTGGCAATAAGTCATAAAAAAACATAGCAAAGACTGACAAAGATTTGACAGAAACCTTTTATCTAATCTTTTACAATGGTGTTAGATTAGGCCACATAACTATTTTTTCTAGCAGTATTCTTGGTTGAGATCAATTTATTTATGCATTGTTTGAATGTGATAAAATTAACAATAATATTCAGTAAATAAGGACTTTAGTCTTAAATATATTGCCTTCACTTTAATGTACTCTAAACCTAACTGGACTTACCTGATGTCATACAAGAAAATTTGTATAGATTTCAAATGAATATAATCTAACATGAGAACCTTTTCAGGAAAAAAAATGTCTAAAGAAACTAAAAACATTTCCAAGATTTGTGTTTGGCTCCTAAGTCTTTTAAATTTCCCATTAGATTCCATTTCCAATATGGTACATTACCTCCTCTCACATAAAAACTATTTTCATTCAGTGCTGCCCTCTATATGTTAAAGAAAAATTTTGCATGCCATAAGCCTTAAAGCTCCCACCATTTTTAAATCGACTGATTCAAATGCGTCTCTCGCATGCAAATCATCATGTGACAACTCTTCACCAGTAAGAGTGTGACATACTCTCTTAATGCATGTCACTCCCTCTATTCAATTCTACTGAACTATCACTTCTCATTTGGTAGTACTTGTGTTGTAATGTTTAGTTTGTGCTCTCTTCAAGTACTTATTTTTACTTTTTTCCATATCTTTGTATTAATTTCTCTGAACAAGTTTACTCTTTATTATACAAAGTGATACTTGTAACTTGTTGCATTATTCTGAAGTGGAATTATTTTATATTTTTACCTGCTTACGGAACTTATTACTTCATTACAAATACTTTTTATTTATTTCTACCAACGCAGTTGTGTATGTTTATTCATTTTGTATTATGAATTCTACATTATCACTTCAAAGGTTATATGTTTTATCAGCACATATACACAGGCTTCAAGTAGTGGTACTCTGCGAGAAGATTTTCTGCTTTACTTTGTCAGAAGATTCATCATCCAATAAGCTGACCTTTGTCTGGCCTCGTCTTTAGTTTAGGGGCCTACACATTTTGATATACGGTCTGCCGACTTTGGAAAGATAAGAGGTTATACTGTTATGGTTTTTGAATAATTTTATTTTTAATATTATTATCTGTAGTTATTTGGGTTCCATAACATAAGTTTCGTTAGATTGGTCAATACTCAATATTGAAATTCAGGTTAGCAATTAGTCTTAGTTGTATCTTTTTTCCTATACCATGGTCTCTGTTATTTTAGGATTACTTGTGATTCATCTTACTGATATATCAATCATTAGTTTAACTATATTGTTTTTCTTCCATACATCACATCTCACACATAAGTTATTGTTACTACACACTTACATAATTTTATACAATCATGTCTATTTCATTTTTGTTATTATTTATCTTTTCTCCAACTTTCTGTTCACTTGGTTTGTATGGAACCCTTGAACCGGGGTCCATACAAACTTCTCCCGTTATTATACATACTTATTGTTAGGTTAAGATTTTTATTTTAGTGTTAGTGATATCCTTTGTTCTGTACTATTTGATTAGACTAAAAAAAAGTGTTATTTTCAGTTTACCTGTGGTTCTACTTCCAGGTTATCATTAATTAGATTACATATTTTGTTTGATTAGGCTTAACAAGTGTCTGTTATTTGCAGTTTACCCATAGTTCTATTTACAGGTTAATCGATAATTATATTAAATATCTTTTCTTCAACACATAAGATCACATACATACATACACAATTTTTTAACATTTCTACTATATTGACTATTTCATTATCATCTTGCTTTATAGTTTATACTTCTTACCATTAATTTTGTTTGTGAGGGCCCCTGGGAGCAGGGGTCCACCCTACTTGTAACCAATACTGCATACCTTCCTCCTATAACAGCTGAACCTATTTTCAGACAACCTAGTTTTTGTCAGTTTTCTTCAACCTTATGGATTGCTTTCCAGGTCTCTACTGCAGAATCTGCTAAGTCTCTCTCATTTTTTTAGACACGTTTCACAGTATACTTCCTATCTTATGACATTATTTCATGATGATCTTTTTGTCTCTCTTTAGGGAGTGGGTATACAGGCTTTAATTCTTTTTTTGCCTCAGCTTACCATCAGGCAGATATTTTTCCTGATTTTATTCATTCGCATTTCTGTTAATGCTATCCATTTTATCCCCTACATAGTTTTTTAGCTTCATTTTACCCTATTGACTCCTGTACAGTTAGTTTACCTTCCACCTCCTTTCTTCTGTGTTCCACTTATATTTAGGGATTTTCGTGGGATGCCTCCTCTTTTTCCCTCCTTATTGGAGTGTTTGCCATCTTCAGTTCATTCCCTACACACGTGGCTTCTTTGTTTCTGAAATCTTCTAGGGTGAGACACTGCTGTTTGTTTACCATCCATTACTGATAGGGATTTATGGTCAGTTCTTTTTCTCCACCAGTCCATTTTTTGGGGACTACTCCTGTATATTTAGCATCATGTGGTATATCTATGACGCTTTATTCAAGTTTTTTTAGTTGCTCTTTTGTTTCTATTATGAGATATTATCATCTTTATTCATTTTATATGTTTGGCACCTTCCTGTTCTTTACTTGTTTTACCTACAGGTTTTCTTCAATCGTCTTGTATGCTCGATGCTGATTGAGGTTCTGAGTCAATCGGTCCCACCTCAATCAATTCTTGCATCTTCCCCATTTTATTATGTAGTCCTTGATCACATTTGGATAGGCTGTTTCTGCATGACTGCGAATGCCCATGGTACACGTTATTATCTTCATTTCTTTCATCACATGATTTGGTATCAGTTTCGTGCCATGACCTTTGGACTTGTTTTGGTTCCATATGTCTTTTGTGGGATGGTCTGTGTTTTACCCAACTTCCACTTTCAGGGGTATTTTACCTGCACCATTCATTAAATGTCTAACTTCGATTACCTCCTTCCAAACACGGGTAGTCTTAACATACTTAACTACTACTTCCACAGTCAGCTCGGGTTGTTGGATTTTCCAGTTGGATAAGTTTTTCCTATAACATACCTCACATTCTAGTCACTTTTGGGTGTGTATTTTTAAACACTCTCAATTGTGACTTTCCATTCTTCTCCTCTTCGAATGCATTGGAAAGAGTTTTCTGTTATCTGAGCCATTACTTTGGGTTTTCCTCTTAATTTTCGTCCTTCCTTCCTCATCTATATGCATTAATAGTTGAACATGTCCCCTATGGTGCTTGGTGTACCACTTCTTCCCCCTCTTCTGGTTTCTTTCTCTTCCCTGATGCTCATCTCCAAGGGTCACTTCCGCCACTTCAAGGTGTTTTAGCTCACTCTCTTCCTCTTGTCCATATTTGACTAATCCTGTTTCAACATTTTGGTGGTGGCTTATATCACTCGCCAAGGGAACAGTCATTCTTGTTCCTTTGTTGTAAACAGTGGATTTCCTTTTTTGCACCCACACAGTTCACATGCATTTCCTGGAGGGTCATGTTCCATATGCCTTATCCTTGTTGCTAATTGACTTTCTAGTCCCAACACACTTTCTCCTTAGGAGTGACCTCTAGATCCTCCTAATTTTTGGTGGCTCTGCATCCTGTGGGGTGCTGCTCCACGTAAAGTTTTTCAATCTTTTATCACTTCCCAGTTAATTACCTCTTGTTTTTGTTCTCTGGTTCACCATCCACTTGCCCCTCAGACAGGTTTACATCCAGTTTATAACATTAGTTTTTTCTCATTCCATCAATTTTCTTTCCCAAATTTTTCTTCATCTGTGTCACTCCAGTTCAGGTCTTTCTGATTGATCTTTCCTGATTGTCACTGCTTTGGTTTTCTTGGCTGTTGTATGTCAATTTGGTTCTTTTGTTCTGGATCGATTTTATTAACCTACATTTTAGTGGCTCATGTGGTATATTTCTTCTGACTTTTTTGGTTCTTACCATCTTCTACATTTCTTCTTGGTGGTATTCAGATGATATTTCTGTCTAGTATATGCTGTGGGTTGCTTCTTTCCATTGAATCTATTTCCTATGATTTCCTTCCTTATTCTACTTCTTTGTCTGTGGTTTTTTTCCTCTTCCTCCCTTACCCATTAGGTTTGGATTGTGAATTGATTGGTCTTTTATTCCTTGTCTCCTTCATCCCGGCATCATTTCCTGGTGTCTTCATTACAGTCATGCACCTTCCCTTTTCCCTGCATGTCTACCCTGTCATCTGTTGGAGGTACTTCTTCTGTCGAGCACTGGGACTACATCTGATAAGTTCATCTCCCATTCTCTGCTTTGGGTAGCTGTTTCTTCCTTGTCGGGGTACTGTGAACCACCTGTTGCCATCCTTCACTCTTTTATAAGACTGTGACTGGGTAAGTTACCTTTTAGTGTATACATACCTCTTATTTTTCAGGGGCATGTCCCTCCTTTTCATTCTAAATTCCACTCTGTGGCATGTGGTGCCTGTCCAGGTATATTTAAACTAGTCAAATGCACACTGTAAGACCATGTTGACTTGCATATTATGATTTCCATGGCCAAAAATGCACACAGCTGAGATGAGGTGTTTCACAAGATTGTTTGTAGGTTTATCCTCACGATATGTTTGCTTCATTAGTGCCCCCCAGTGGCACAGCGGTATGTCTATGGACTTACAATGCTAGAATCTGGGTTTCAATACCCATGGTGGGCAGAACACAGATAGCCCATTGTGTAGCTTTGTGCTTAATTACAAACAAACAAGCTTCTTTAGTTTGCCTGTCTCGGACCGTACACATGCATAGACTACACGAGAAAAATAGAAGGGGATAGCTGCCAATCCCTGCCATGAATAAGTCAGTATGGTCTGCATTTCAAAATAGGGTTTCATGGTTACCCATTGCACTGTTTCAGGTGTTGTCATTCCTCCAGCTTCTCCACTGCATTTTCTTCCCCCTTTTCTTTAAGTGGAGTTTGAGAGTCCTTACCACTTTTCAGTTCCAAGCTGCTGGGGTGGTGGACTGTGGAGGCATTCTACTGAATGTGTTAATGAAATACAAATAATATATGTACATGTATATACATAAATGATTATAAAACCATTCATTTGAGAGTAGGGCAGCGGTGTTCTACTGGTGTAGATGACTAGATATCCTCCACTATGTAACAATGGAGGGTGCTGTCAAAATTACAGTTCACCCCTTCGATTGGTATCCTTCATCCTACCTCACATGGATGTTGGTTCCCAATGGCTGGTTTTTGGATTTAGAGCTGAACCAATCAACATAAGTCCTCACATATGTATTACAGATGTCTCTATTCCCTCACTCATTTATATTCATGTTACTCCATCCTTGTTGTGGGTCATGATGGAGGTACTTGCAGATTACTACTTTTCTTCCCCTTCTGCTAGTCCTTGATGTTCTTATTATTCTGAGGATATTACTGTGCTTTAGGTAGTTCCTGCCATTTTAAATTTGGGTGAGATGGTTTACATTACACAGACATCTTTTCAGTTCCCAGATTGATCAATCAATTTCTCACGTTGTTATCATGCGACCTGTTTATGGGTCGGGGGGTACAAGACTCCCTCTGGTCTCATGAACTTTCCTCTTTACTACCCCTACATCGATGACAGTTTCCAGGGGCATGGGTTTTGGATGTAGTTGACTTGCTGTGTATGGTCTATCATGCTCTAGCCAATCTACACCTAGGGGCACATCCTTTTCATTTTTTGCCTCTTTTATGTTTTCCAGGATTGAGTTTGATAAATATCCTATGGTTCAGTTCTCTATCCTGCCATAGTTCTTTCCCACTTTCTGCCCATATATGCAAAATCTTTCCACAATGGGTGAAGAATATAACTGGTACAGAAGTTATGCGGTCTCCCATGTATAATCTTCTACTTCCAGGATCTACTATTTGAAAGTGTCCTTCAGATGCTTCTTTCTTTCCCTCGCACCGGTCACTCCACCTTTTCAAGGTGGGATTCTAGCTATTTATGTGAGAAGAGGTAATGTACTGTGTTGGAAGTTATAATTTTCCTATACTGAAAATGTATTTCTGATAGGTACTAACCCCCTCTCACGCTTCCCATCCTTCCACCACACTGAAATCTGGTGCTTCCATTTTCTAACAAAACTCAAAGTGATAGTTTGGTAGAATTGAATAGAGGGTGTTAAATGCATCAAGAGAGTATGTCACACTCTTATTGGTGGAGGGTTGTTGCATGATGATATACACGTGAAACACATTTGAATCATTCAATTCAAATATGGGTGGGAGCTTCGAGGCTTGTGGCATGCAAAAAAATTTTTGCATATAGAGGGCAGCACTGAATGAGAATAGCTATTTATGTGAGGGAAGGTAAGTAGTATCAGAAATACATTTTCAGTATAGGAAAATTATAACTTTTGTTCTTTGAAGGAATTATATTTTGTCACTTTCACATGAAACCATAACTTACGTTTCATTCTACTTTATTCCTGCTACATAGATGTAAACAATGCTCTATCCAATGGTATTTAAATTTTACCTGTAGCTTTCTTTTGGCCAAAAACAAAGTTTTTGTTTTAGATATATAACAGTGTAAGTTATAAATTAATGAAAATCGTAAAATTTCATTATTTTTGTTGTAGTGTTATTTTATGAAAGAATAACCAAATAACATTGTCAATATAAATTTTTTGTTTTGATTATATTATGAGAATTAGAATAATGTTATAATGAATCCTTTATTCTACACTATGAATAACAAACTTTATTACCAGGATTCTGACAAACAAACCAGAGTATTTACTTGAAAGCTCACATTTAATGCAAAATATACTCGCATATAATTACAATTTGAAAATGCCTAGGCTTTTATAAACAATTATTTTATCTTCGGAGAACTAATTGAATAATATATTCTTGACACAACTTTAAAACTTTGAATTCAACAACATATCCTTGGCACAAGAAGTTAGGAAAAAGACCAGAAATAAAAATGTAACTTTTAAAACTAATTATAGAAATTGGTTTGATAATACAACAGTTACAAAATCTCTGATTAAAATATATATCTAATAACTACTTCTAGCCAAGTTTTAACCAATATCCAGTCTATTCTCTACATTCTTAAGCATCTAGCATGTCAGTTTTCAGTTCTCTTTTAAACATTTGATTCCATTAGACAACTAACTTACAGTTTAATATGGGATGATTATTGGCTATTGACAAAATGTTTGATTGACTTATTTACATAAAGTGACACACTAATTTTTATATGGTCATGTACTGTAACTATTGTTACAAAAGCCTCAGTGGCACCCAGTATCAGTCACTTTGTCTCACTGTGAAACTAGCATGTCTCTGTTAGCTGTAATAGTAATGGGATGTGAGCTAGCATTATGCACAGGGCTGAATTAAGACCACAATGGGCCCATAGACAACTTTAGTTCTGTGGGCTGTTTTTTTCCATAAATCCTCTTGTTTTTTGAAATTACATTTTGACCACCAAAACAACCTTTAACAAATATAATGCTTTTAGAATTTTACGGTTTCCAAAAGGCTATTAAAAAACACGAGAAAAATATAACAACTGTGAGCTCATGGGAAACTTGGCCTACTTGCCATTTTGGTTAACTGAGTGGGCACGGTGTGAGTCCACTGGATGGACTCTGTATTAGAGAAGTAATGTTGACTATAATTCTGAATTTAAAGTGTATCTTCACAAGCCTATTGTACCCAAAAATGGGATGTGTTACTAAAGATATGTATGTGAAATGCTGAAGTCAGTTTGACTCAGACTAACAAGTTTCAGTGAAAGGTGATGTTCATATAAAGAACAAAAGTACTTTTGTCTGTTGCATGTTTATGCAAGATGCACTTGCATAACCACTACAACCACTTAAATGCATATCTAAAGATTTTTTTCATGCACACTTTGACTCATGCCCATGCACATAGGATCAATCCTGCTTTAATTATTTGAAAGCAAAACCAGAGGAAAAGGTACATAAACTTTTAACATAATACCAATGAACAAGTAATGAATGAATACCACCTTGCAGTGTATGCTTTATGTTATTTTATATTGTGTAAAATCACATCATGTGACCATAATTGGCAATAATTTCATGTGCATTTTTAAGTTAGAACAAATAGATTAAAGAGCAACTGGCAAATGTTGATTTCTGTCCCTGTTCTTCTAGAAATCCAACAGGCAGCTTACATGTAATTACATCATTCTGAACATTTGATTCATATCTCCTTTATTCTTTTCCATTCCAAAGAGACAACTGTATGGAAGATCTTAACTTACTTCAGGCCTGTACAAATCTTATTCAAAGCAAGATTAACATCTTCATGCCTAAATCCGAACTTCCATTAACAAAATCTCATCTCCTAGTTTTTTTACTGTAATAGAAGGTAAAATAATTTCAACTCAAAGAATATACCTTACAGTTATGTTTGTAAGAATCTTAACACATTATATAAAGAAATGAACTTTTTGCATTGAACTAGATACAACAACACAGCTTACATGTGCAGACTATAAGTATTATAAACAAATATTGTGGCCTAGTTTTAATTAATTTTTCTTTTGCCAGATCCCCATCATCAAGACTTGTTCCTAAATATGAGTGCCTTTTTACCATTTATAAACAATCAAATTTCTCATCAACGTAACAACGGTAAGGCTAACATGAAACTTAGTCAGAACCATGTTCTTTACATCTTGTAACATTTTATTAAATGTGTTTTGTTAAAGTTACACAGAAAGTAGAATATTTTATGGTATTGTTTGTAGTGTGAAATATTTTCTATGAACTTGAATTTAAGTTAATACTGTGCATTTCTCCACATTTTCATTTTTGAGGTAAGACTATATTTGTTGCTCATGTACTTTTGGCTTGAGTAAAGTTTGAGCGTGTTGTGGAATGTGATTGTCAGGCTGTGTTGTCTTTTTTTAAGTTTGTTATGAGTGAGGAATTCTGTGGTGATCAGGCTAAGAAATCATCTGCCTAGAAATGAAAGGATACTAAAGATTGGTGTGATTCTAGAAATGAAGCTCATCCTGTTCAATTGCTCAAAGTATTTAACAAAAATTTGAAGCTAGAACTAGCTTGTAATAATTCTAAATAAAAGAAGGTTATATGTATGACCTGTATAATATAATATAATAGCTATGTAATTAATATATATCTATATATAATTGTGTGATGACCAGAGTAGTACATGTAAGACAAGTTCCATTATTTGATGCTGACAAGTTGTATATCTTTTATTGTGTGAAGTTAAGTGTGCAGAATTACTAGTTGCTTTACTTAAAATATAAAAATGTGCTGTTTTGTAATAACAATGATTTTCATATATTTTATCAAAAAATAGTAAGTAATTACCTACTGTTACAGCTTGAATTGTTAAGTATCATATTTTAAACATAAAATAACACAGCTGTTTATGTTTTAAAAAACGTGTTCTACATATTCCTAGCAGTTTAGTCATATGTGCACATAATGCAAAAGAAAAAAATTTCCTTTTTGAGTCTAATATTATTATAAAACACACACACACACACCTGAAATAATTTCTGTAGCAATGCTCATTTTAGCCACATGTCCTTAAAAGTTGTATTATTTGTTTACAGATTAATAAAGCAAATGAATGCAAAGAGAATGGAAGCTATTCCCATTCATTTAAATTGCACTATGCATTTTGTCATGATGTTGGTTTCATTTTAACATTAATTTTGTTTTTAAGAGTTGTGTTTCAAAGGCCATCAGTGATATGGAAAGAATAATTATGTACCATATTTCATCAAGAATGATAAACCACCTTTATACAAAAGTTTCTCCTGGTCTTTAAACTGCACTGCTGTAGCTGCATCTGTCTAATGGTTTCATATATAGTGGTTGTTCGTATATAAAAAGATGTTGGGAACAATTGTGGTTTATGTATGCTTTATTTATTTTTATTATTTATATGTCCTGACATTTCTCTTGGCACACTCACATACTTTTTATTTTGTGGAGTGGCAATGATTAGGAATAGGAATAATTGTTGTGGGGTCACCTAAAATTAATAGTTTTGTGTGGCTGGATTCAGTTGATTGTTGCTTTCTTTGAACAGTAGTATTTCAATTAACTTATCATCAAATATAGTTTACAGTATTGTTACATTCTTTTCACCAGGTCATGCAATGTTTAGTTTCAAAAATTTGAGTTAAAAGGAAAATAACACTAAGATAGCTCTGTCACTGAAACTAGTTATAAAAAATGGTATTTTTGAAGAATTTAAGTCAAACATTTAAGTTTCTATGGGGATACAACAGTTTAATATTGAAAATGCCTATCAATAAACATAGTATTTAACACAAATGAATAAATTGTTTCATTATAATATGTATACTATTTGAACTTAGATTTTAAAAGAAATTTTCTTCGACTGAAAAATCTCATTCTGATTGGTGGACCTGATGACGGTGTTGTGGATCCATGGCAGTCAAGGTGAAACTTTATGTTGTGGATTACTGGAGGCATGAATGAATGAATGGACTGTTTTTGAAATGTATTTTTACACTAACAAAACATCTGCACTGTATTACTCAATGTCAGAATAGACATAGTATATTATGTGTGTGAGTGCCAAGTGTATGTTGTAAGTGAATAAAGATGGCATCTGTGACCATTTGTATTAAAAACTTAATTTATTCACTTTTAATATACATACTTAGGAAGTTTGGAAATACATAGAAAATATTCAACATTTTGAAATTATCAGCTATGCAAATTGAAGTTTTTTAAGTTTTGGTGATCTACTTTGAGTTTTAATACTTTGGTCAGAGCTCTGTATATTATTTTTCTGTTGCAGTCACTTTGGATTCATTGATAATTATGAGCAGTTGGTTCCAATGAAGCAACAACAAGTAGGTGTGAAAACAGTACATACATTCATGATAAAAATATTTTTTTATGCATTTTTTTTAAGAATGTAGATTTAAGTTTATATTGTGGAGTTAAAGTATTGTATTAGGCTTTGTATGTTGCTTTCAAGTTACACTTTACTAGCTGAGATAGCAGTGAATGAATGCTTGCTTCACCTGAGAATTTCACTTACTCTAAATGAATTTCATGATGAGAGAAGGATGAAGCTATGTTCAAACTTAGTCTCTAACAAATGTGGGTTCTGAATACATTTGACTTCACTCTCCTGAGAAGGATATGCAGCATTAGAGAAATAAATAAATGTGTTGATTTGTTGTTAGAGTGTGGTGTTATTAGTAAAACAACCTCCAAAATTGAAACAGTATCTTTTATAGCTATGAAATATGAGATGAGAGTTTCATGTATTAAGTATCTTTTGTTACATAATTGCCCAGAAAATGCTCTATATGATCTATTAATTAACACATGGTCAACAGTCACATAATCCAATCTAGATATAAAATTTATGCCACATATCACTCACAGTAGTCCTAACATTGTAGCTAGGAATTAGTGTTTAGTTTGAGCAATAAAATCCTCAGAAAATAGGTAAATTAATTATTTTTAAACACAGCGGCTACACTCTTAAGTTAGAGGGTTTTAAATTTGTCTTTTTAACCTGAGATGTTAGATAGGTGTGTAAACAATTTTTAGAAATAATTTAGTCTTAAGCAGCAGCTCTACCTCTTAGTTGAATATCTAAGTACTTTAGTAAAAAAACACATTAAGCTAATATAATAATAGGTAGGCAAACAACAATTTATAATCATAAGGAAAAGTTTCATTGGTGGAGAATATACTACATGTTTGTTGAAACATGTAGTATGTTCCACCTCCAATAAAACTTTTCCTTATGCTTATAAATTGTTGTCTGCTCACCTATTATAGAATATCTACATGATAAACGAGGTAAGGGAACTTTTTTAATTACTTGTTGAAAGTAAGTTGTTATTTGGTATAGCAGTATTGAAAAGTGTATATAGCTATTTTTTCTTCAAATTAAAAATAATTAATTTTGATTTTTCTTGAACAGATTTATCAATATGACACATTTGGACTGAAGAGTTTGGAAGAACTTGGAAGGGTCCATGTTAAAGTTATGGCTAATGTTAACCACTTTGAATGGCACAAAAATCACACAGTTTTTGATAAATTTATTCTTCCATTTCTTAATTAACAAGAAAAAAATGCTGTTGACCTACTTATAACATTTTATATATATATATGTTTAATTATATCACTTAAATTCTGATTTGTATTATATATATTTTGTCACTACAATCTTATACATATTAATTATAATCAAGTTTGAAATTTGTTGTTTTGAAAGTGGATGTATAACAAATATTATGTGAGGATAATTTAAAGTTTTTTTTTGCGTATTCACTTCTAAAGCCTTGATTTAATGAAAGGTTTACTTCTGTAAATTACAAGCTTTTACTCAATGATAAACATATTTAGGATATTATTTTCATTTATTCATAGAAAATTGTTTAACCCTTTTTCAAAAAAGTAATGCAATAAACATGCTTTATGGTGTGTGACATTATTTCAAATGTTCATTATAGAAATAATTTATAAGGGAAAAATTTGTCAGTGGATAATTTGATAAGTTGTAAGATAAACAACACTTACATAATTTGGTATTATTTAAAACTATGCATTTATAATTAAGTTTTTATTAATTTTTAATCACCTTTAAATTATATAATTTTTTCTCAAATAATTAAATCTGGGAAGCTAGTATAAGTTGGGTTTGTGACAATTAAAACGTATTATTTTTTGTACATGTATCAAGGTCAATATTTTTTAAATACATATTCTTTTTTTTAATTCTGGTTTACTTTTTGAATATTTTATGAAGATAATGTTGTGGAGGTGTTCTTTAGAAACAGATCTTAAAAACCTGAAAATAAGCCTGTGACTTTTCATTCCTTTATTTAATGCTACCTCAACTTATTTTTGTCTAGTTTGGTGTTGTATTAAGATAATGTAATTCTTTGTTAAAAAGTTAATGTTTTTGGAAATTGAAATGAATGAAATGTATGACACAGTTTGATACACAGTGAAGAGATGAATAGAAAACCATTACCTTTGTCCGTCCAGTTTATTGAATCATTATTACAAATTAAAATTCATATTGATTAGAAACACTTTTTTTTTCTTCAGAAACTGTTGATTTTTATATTTTTTATTAGTTATGCTTTCAGACTGAAAGTCTGCTGGTGTTTGAGGTTGTAGTTTTTTTTTATGCCTACTACTATGTCCATCCCATAAGAGCAAAGTTTCACTTGGTGGTGGTTATGATGTCGGTTGAATTAAAATGAATATTTATCGTTAATTTGATTTGTCTTAAGGGTGTGAAAGTATCTTGCTGTAATATTTGAACTGGTGGGAGAATCTCATGTTTTTTTTATATTCTCATCAATGTACAAAGTGGTTAAAACCAAGCTTAGATAAAGCTGGTGCCATAAGATTTTTTTAAGAGATGTAACACATCTCCAGGAGCATGATTTACAATTAACAAAAATTTTCGTATTTCTACAAATATCTGGCCCAAAAATAACTTACAAGAATAATATGTATTGAAAACATATGCACCATGACTGTTTCATTATTACGTCTAGTTGTGTCAGTGATTACCATAAGACAACCTAGATAGCAGGGTTGTTGCATGTACTCAAAGTATTAAAGGAAGTATTGTGGATTGCCGTGTGTGTTTTTTTTAATGATCCATTGTGAAAACACCCATTTCAAGCTTATTACGAGATTTTTTTTCCTAATTCAGTTATTTTCAACATCTACATTAAAAAAAAAGTAACATGAAGCTCACATTCTTTTCATATCATGTATCATACATGACATTTTATTATTAAGATTATTTTATCTTAATTTACTGTGTTTGTTCCTTATACTTAGTTAAAATATTGCCCCCCTCCCCCCAGTGGCACAGCGGTATGTCTGCGGATTTACAACGCTAGAAATCGGGTTTCGATACCCGTGGTGGGCAGAGCACAGATAATTCAATGTGTAGCTTTGTGCTTAACTTCAAAAACAAACAAACAAGTTAAAATATTTATTGACGTTTTTTTGAAACGTCATGCAGAAATAATGTATAGTTCCTTTCTTGCTAACATTTGTCTGTTTTTGAGGTTTTGAAAGACTATCCACGTCAGTAAGTCATTTATACCATATAAGCTCCAAGGGTTTAAGTTTGGGAAAATTTACTAAAACTAAATACGTCACACTGCTATATAATCTAGTACATATTTTCCAGAATTAAGTATGAAAATTATACTATGCTTTAAAACTTATATTTTTGAAATATCTATACATCGAAAAAGAGGACATTCTGACTTACGACGCTAGATTCCGGGTTTCGATACCCGTGGTGGGCAGAGCACAGATATCCCATTGTGTAGCTTTGTGCTATAAACAAACAAATTTGTACTCTTTGTGAGCCAACCTGGTTTTTACTTGCAACTACCCTCTTCTTTCTATAAGGAATATGTTTACCTTGAATATTTCGAAATTTATCTCTAAAAATGTTCCACATCTGATCAGTGTCCGAAAATAATTCAGCTCCCTAATTCATAGCAGATAATTATTGTCGCATCCCTTCAAAATTTGTTTTTTTGAAACATGTAACCAAAATATCATTCCTTATCTCCGTATGCAGCAAAACATTACACCTAATAGAGCAATGATCACTTGCACCTAGCTGTTCCTCAATTTCAACCATTTCTGTATTTGAAGTTAACAATAAATATAAAATAACATTGTTTCTTATCGGTTCCTTAACTAATTGGTAAAGAAAGTCATCTTGAACAGTTTCCAAAAACCTTTCACCCTCATGGTTTGATTCTAGCATTTCCTAATCTGTACGCCTGAAATTAAAATCACCCATAATTATGACCTCATTAACAGCTGAAATCTTAATCTCATTTTTAAGTTTCTCACTAATTTCATCAACTTTATTTGGTGGTCTGTAACAAATAACCTTTATATCCACCAAAAGACACCCAAATGGATTTAATCTCCTTGCTATTATCTTTGATATCTTCAGCAGGATGTAACTCACATTTTACACATAAAGCGAATCCCCCTCTCTTTAATACTTTATCCCTATTAAATAGCCTGTAATTTTGTATTTCACAGAATTTTCTGTCACCAAAATCTTCTATATTTAACCATGCTTTAGTTATTCTCATTATATCAAAATCCTCCATTCCTACCAGTGCTCTAAAGTCATTTATTTTATTTCTTATACTTCTAGCATTACAATAGTAACAGTTAAGCCTACCCTTATGACTGCTTCTATACTCATTTCCTACGCTAAAATTTTCTCTGCCTCTTATTCTTTTTGTATTTAGTTTTCCTGGCCTTCACTACTGCGTAGTCCTAGTTTAAAACTTCCGTTACAGCTCAATTAATAGCTGTAGCAAACAAGCCAGCTCTTATCTTATACAAATGTAAACCAACCATTACAAAAACTTCCTTCTTCCACCGAACTGATCACATAGGTACAACCAGCCAAGCTGCTCGTCTTTACATACTAGCCTAGCATTTAGCCCTAGTGGCTTACTTATAACTTCATCACCAGTTAATTCTGAGCAGTATCCCTGAAAAATTAAGTTATGGCCTTTCTCTTTAAATGCCTTTATCAACCTATTGTACGTTTTAATTAGCTCCTCTGACCTACCTTTCCCTATATCATTAGCCCCTACATGCATCACAAAAATTGCATCTATGCTAGACCCCTTTATTATATATCCTGCTCAGTCAATTATATCCTCCAACCGTGCCCCTGGGTAGCATAATCTGATTTTTTCTCCCTATTTACCTCACAGATTATCCTGACCACATGCCTTGTCAAGGAATCACTTATAACTATAATCTCCTTATCATCAACATCCTTCTCTGACCCGTTTGTTTACCTTCCCTCCTGTAGTTCCTCGTGTGCAGAAGCCAAGGGCTGAAATTTGTTGCTCAATATAATAGGCTCGTTACAATTAGTCACTACTTTTACCCCTAATTGTACTATTTCTAACTTCCTGAAAGTCATTGTTAGTCAGTGTGTTCCTTGCATGTAAAAACTTAACCTCCTTTTGATTTCCCACAGTCTACACTTTTCTTTATCTAATGCCTCTACATTAATTACGATAACATACAAGCTGTACATAAAAATTGCACATCTTCACTACTAGCTTCCTTAAAAGTTCATTCCAGTCCCAAGTTCCCAAATAAAACCCATTCATTGTACCCATTACGCCTAACAAACTGTGAACGCTTAAGTCCTACATTAGCCTTAACCATTGAATTTATACTTATAGCCTGAAAATAAAAAAGAAATACCAGTAGCCTATTGTCAACACTGTTACTGTGAAGTCTAATGTTTAAGAACCAATTATATTATTATTTTATGACTAGTTTGTCTTCACACTAAAGTGCTAATGTTTATCTTTAATGATAAAGAACTTTATTAGAAGTCTTTGATGTATATGTAGTTATAATAGTAAAATGTATTTACTATTTAGCCTGATATATATTATAACCTACCTGTAACTACAGGCTGAATTTAAACTAATGGATCTAAGTTCAAGTGAACTAGCTTTTAGATTGTATTTATTTAATAAAACAATGTATTTATCCTGTTTTGCGACTTACTAGTAATTTGAAATATACCTAAGCCAAAAGTACCGTTACATGTACTAAGCCTATTTTAACGTTGTAGTAAAATTTAAACCACTAAACTTTATGGATGAGTTATAAGAGTGACTGTCAAATCCCACATTGTTGAAAAAAATGTGTCTAACGTTGCTCATAGTATTGTATATAATATGCTGTGCAGTCTTTCACACTGGAAACTTTTCAGGTTTCACAGAAACTGTGTATATTCACACTTTTCGCAGTATAACACAAAACACGTGAAATTTTACACGGTATTATGTACTTATATTCTTAGATTTAAATTCTATTGTTTTCAAGATAAAACTCAAAATACTTTGTTTTTTCCCACACCATAAATATACGCGAGTAAATGTCTTATGATAAAGGAATGGTGTTTCTTTGAACTTCTAGTAGACAGTCTGATGAGTTAAAAATGTCCATTATGATGGAGTGTGGAGCTAAAGTTCTGTGGTTCGTGTCCCAAAGAAATTCGCACTCCACACTTTGGGGCCGTGGGTGTGTTATAAGATCTGATCTGTATCTGGAGTAGGTAACCTCTTACAGGAGGTTGACCGTCATGATGTGCCATGTCTTCCTTTCCTTTGCTGGTTTGACACATCCTGGATAGTTCAGTTGTACCCATTCACATGTCTTTCATCGAATTCATTCTTTGTCTCTTTCCATTAGTCTTACCTTCCAATAATGTTCTCTGTATTGTCTGCTCTCTGACCACATGACCATAATATCTACAATTTCGTTGTTTTAATGTATTAAGTAACGTTCTTCTAGCTTTGATCCTTCTAAGTACTTCTTCATTGGTGACTCTGTCTTTGTAAGATATTCTCATCCGTATTTTTGAACATCCACATTTCAAATGCATTGATCTTCTCCTCCATATTCTTATTGATTGTCCATGTTTCATTGGCATATATAAAAGTAGACAGTACATAGAATCTAGCTAGTTTCTTCTGTATTTCGACACTAATGCTATTTGCTGTCGAGGCATCTCTCATTTTGCAAAAGGTATTTCTTGCAATTTATATTCATCTTTTTATGTGTGTCACATTTACCATCCGCCATAATGATTTGACCTAGATATGTGAATGTCATCATCTGTTCAAGATAGATCCCATCGACTATGATATTTATCCTTTTCATGTCTTGATGTTCCCTACTTACTATAATCGTTTTCTGTCTCTTTGGTGTTCATTCTGAGTTCAAATTCTGTGCTTCTTATCTTGATCTCATCTACAATCTGCTGTAGTCCTTCTGCTGATTCTGCTACCAAATCAGTGTCATCTGCACATCTGAGTTTTGTAACAATCACTCCATCAATGCTTACTCCATGTTACTTGTCAGTGTTTTTGAAAATGCCCTCTGTATACAGATTAAAAAGTTTGGCCGAGATTATACACACCTGCCTTACTTCTCTTTTTATAGGAAATACTTCTGATTCATTATCATCCAATTTGATTGATGCTGTCAATATAGATTTTAAATGAGCCTCTTGATATCATCTATACACCTGGAAAAAAGTTAAGCACCCCCGTGTTTTTTTCAAGTGATTCAGATTCGACGTTCTTGTGACTGATTATAAATTACCATTCAATCTAAACGTGTTT